ATGCCACCTGCCGCCTTGCTGGGCGGGAAGGAACTGCTGCCAGTGTCCACCCTTCACGCACCTGTTTTCAGCGCTGCAACTGATGACAGTGGGCGCCGTGAAGACGAAGCGTGCACGGGGAGGTGGCGAAGGACGGCCCTTGGCTGCCAGAGCTGGGATGCAAGAGTGCCTTGAACCCCGTGGGAGGCCCCGGGCCCGTGGTTCCTGCAGGCCCCCGCGTGCGTCCAGGGTCGCTGTGTCCGGTTGCGGTCCCTTTCATTGAGTCGGGGGTCGCAGCTAATCGCCGCTCATCTCAATTTGATGGTAGGTGTGTCCCCTGATCCCAGCGCTGCAACTGACGACGCGGGTTCCAACTTAGCTTCCCACATCCCGGCAATGCGCAGGAGCATGTGGATCTCTATTGATTGGATGGTGCCTCCGCCTCCGCTGAACCGACAGCACCGGGATGCAAGAGTACCTAAGCCCCAGAAGACGAACCCGAGCCCGAACGGCAGACACCCCGGGGAGGACAGCGCCGGGATGCAAGGGCCCCAGGAGTACCCGCGGGACACACACTCAGATCCCACTGCAGTCACAGATCACGTTGGGCCCCAATGCCACCTGCCGCCTTGCTGGGCGGGAGGAAACTGCTGCCAGTGTCCACCCTTCACGCACCTGCTCTCAGCGCTGCAACTGATGACAGTGGGCGCTGTGAAGACGAAGCGTGCACGGGGGGGTGGCGAAGGACGGCCCTTGGCTGCCAGAGCTGGGATGCAAGAGTGCCTAGAGCCCCTGTGGGAGGCCCCGGGCCCGTGGTTCCGGCAGGCCCCCGCGTGCGTCCAGGGTCGCTTGGTGGTCCCCCGGGGTCGCAGCTGACCGTCGCTGATGTTTGTGCTCCAATCCTCGGGGGTCGCATCTAGTGGGGATATTCTTTTCACAGCCGCAGGCGGAAGCGCCAGCGGCGGCGGGTCACGGTCGGGCTGCGGCCGTGACGAATTAGCCGGGCGCGCGCGGGGGCCGCGGATCAGGCGGCGGTGCAAACTGCAGCCCAGGGAGTCTGAAGGGAAACAGCCACCCAGGAAGCAGGGAGGACCTGCCAAAATGGCGCGACGCACATCCCCAGTCATAGATCGTGTCGGTCCGACAATCACGAGGTAGTGGGGATCAGTCTCCGTGCATGAGGGGTGTCAGAAAGCCCAGGGTGTCTGTCGGGTATGAGCGAGACCGTAGGCAAAAGAGCTGACGTCGTCCAGCAGGGAGAAGGGTCTCTGACAACGCCAGCGAATCGTCGCAGCTTCAGAGAACGCATCCACGCGGCTGACGGGGTACGCCTGAAGTCATTGACAACCGGAATCAACCTCAGAACAACTGGGGAGGAAAGCGTCTGCACGCGAGAGAGCAACGACATGATGTGACGCAGTGCAGGGGTACACCTGCTCCCGACCTTGGCGAGAGACACGTCGGCCAATCGAGGGTGACGGGGCGTGTACCAGGAAGCAACTAAGTGACATAACAAAGAGCGGCTCTCCATCCACGCTGAGGGGCCAGAAAGAGGAAAAACGCTCTGAGAAAGCTGCGCTGCCGCATACCCACTGCAGCACGAGCAATCCGTAGTCACGAAGAGGCCCAGGGAGTGGCCGCTCAACCAGGTTGAGCGTGGGAGCGACGATGGGGTGACGTCAGTGCGCACAGATCCTCGCGGCGAGCGGTGCACCACTAGCCACTGGGGTAGCACGCCTGGGCCAACCGCTGCAAGACTGTGAAGTCATGTACGGGAGCACGCCTGCGACTCAGTCCGAGTACGGCCGCAGCGGACCGGGTGGGCATTCCGCCGGCGCAGCGGGGCGACCCACGTCAAAAGACCGTCTGAACAACGTTAAGACCCA